CTGTCTCTCTCTCTCTCACTGTCTACTCTGCCTGTCCAAAAAAAAAAAAAAAAAGACATATGCATAATTAGAAGTAGCACTTGATTACACAGCCAAGGCTGGACCCGGCTCTGGTCTGGCTCTCCTCTACTAGGGCCTCCAGGTCGCATTTACTCCCTTGCCAATAGAGCACAGTTCAGGTTCCCAGGACCTTGGCATTTCTCTGGATACCTCAGGCTTTCCACAGTCCCTGTGCAGGCCTGGCCCCTGAGTCTGTTCTCTCAAGGACAAGTCTGCCAACAAGGTCACTCCATAGCCCCTAGGGGTGGCCTGGATGGGGCTGGGGGTGGGAGAGGGGGCTGGAGTAGTTACATACAGGACAAGGCTGAGGTAGGAAGAGAAGAAACGGGGATGAGGCAAGAAATGAGAGCTCGTTCCATTTCCTCTATCGAAGCCCAAAATTTGAAGTTCACATCAGGTGTTCCTGAATGCTACAAAGGTGGATTTGTCAAGTAGGAGGCCAGAACATTCTATGTAGCTTCTGAATATTTGGGTATGTGGTTTAAGCCCATCTAATAGTACTCCAGCTCCAGATCCTGCCTGTGCTAGGGTGGTCCAGTAGAAGATTGCATTGGAAAGTGTGAGATTCCTCTCCATGTTCAAGCCACTGAGCGTGGCCAGTGCCATGCAGTTGGGTCACTGAGGAGGAGTCAGCAGGTGCACCCATGGGTGAAGGCCCTGGAATGCCATAGCACGGGATTCTGCCATGGGCCCTTGAGAGGTCTTTGCAAGTCTCCAGGGGATACTTGATGTGAGCAGATTGGGGGTTTAGGACAATGACTTTGCTGGCAGTGAAGAGGCTGGAATGATAGGAGAGGAATTGAGGCAAGGAGGCCAGTTTGGAGGCTGCTTCAGCCATGGAATGGGGTTTCCGCCCTGACTGCAGGCTGAGTCAGCCTGCTCCGGGCCTCCATCTGTGCCGTCTCGATGCCTCTCTGCTCTCAGCAAAGTCAAATCTTTCTCTGTGGTGTGAAGCCAGCTCCCAGCAGAGCAGCACTGAAGACACCAGCCTGAGGAGATGCCCAGTGTTCAGAAAATAAAGTCCCTCCTGATCCCAGGGTAATGCAGCGAAGCCAAGGCACCACTCTCTATTCACGTGTGGAATAATCTTCAAGAACTCTCTCCTGTCAGCCTCACAATCAAATTTGGGTTATTAGGAATCCCCAGTAAAGTAATCAGCTTTTGTTTAATTTGTAAAATGGTTGTTACCCTATTCATGGCTTTTTTTCCTCTATGCTCTTTCTATGAATTTAACTATGCAAAGCTTGTATATTTGCCTTGAGAGAACCTGCTTGTTCTTTCCCTTTCCTATTCTCCTCTTTCCTTTCTTCTCTCCCCTCCCCTCCTCTTTTCTCTCCTCCATTCCCTTCCTTTCCTTTTCCTTCCCTTCACTCTTTCCTGCTCTCTCCTTTCTCTCTCTCTCTCTCTCTCTCTCTCTCTCTCTCTCTTTCTTTCTTTCTTCTTTTTAGAGACTTACTCATTCACTTGAGAGGCAGAGTTACAGACAAAGAGAAAATTTTTTCATTTGCTGGTTCACTCCCCAAGTGGCCACAATGGCCAGCGCTGAACCAATCTGAAGCCAGGAGCCAGGAGCCTCCTCTGGGCCTCCCATGCAGGTGCAGGGGCCCAAGCCATAGCTGAGAGCTGGATCTGAACAAAAGCAGCCGGGACACAAACTGGCACCAGTATGGGACTCCAGCACCGCAGGCAAAGGCTTAGCCCACTATGCCACAGAGCTGGCCCTGTCTTTCTTTTTCTTTTTCTTTCTTTTTTTTCCTTCCTTCCTTCTTTCCTTTTTTGTTTTTCTTTATAGAGCAGCAGATAAAGAGATTCTTGTGTGGTTCAGGCTGTTCAGCTGCAGTTGAATGAAACTGACACTAGATGCACATGCCACAGAGACCTGAATTTTCAGGGCTAGAACCTGAAAAATAAGGACTTGGAAATGGAATTTTACAGGAGCAGGAAACGTGTAAGCATTCTCCATTTCTAGAAGGCTCGGGTTCAGCATGTTGCCCTGACTTCATGTCACTGGCTGACACTTCTGCCACATGTGCCAGGGCCCTCTCATGGCTTCCCCTGAGGGATGGAGAATGGCTCTCGGGTGCACAGGCAGCACTTACAGAACTGTTCATCCGTACGTGCCATTTACCAGAAAGTAGCCCTGTCCTTCCCTCCAAAAATGCTAGATATGAATATAAAGCTTAACTCTACGTGCGAGCCAATTTTACTTTCCTCAGAAATGTCTTCTCTTGTGTCCTGTTAATTGTGTAGTATATGATGCTTAGCAGATGCTTAAACTCATTCATGCTACCCTGTGGGATAGGGGTTTGGCACAGCACTTAAGAATTACTCCATCCCGTTTTGGAGTGCCTGCATTCAAGATCAGCTCAGCTTCCAATTCCAGCCTCCTGGAGACTTAACACACACCCTGGGGGACAGCAGGTGATGACTCAAGTAATTAGGACCCTGACGCCCACGTGGATAGAGCGTACAGATAGAGTTCTGTACTCCTGGCTTTAGGCTGGTCTTGTCTGGTCTGTTTGGGGCATTTGGGGAGTGAGCCAGCAGATGGAAGATCTCTCTCTCTCTCTCTCTCTCTCTCTGCCTTTCAAATAAACTTTAAAAATCAATAGCAGCAACAGCAGAATATTACTCTCTGCAATCATTTTTACCACTGTTGACATGTTCCTCAAATATTCATTAACTCACCTTCAGGCAAACTTGTACTGAGCACTGGGTATGTGATGGTGTTCGCAACAGCTGCTTGACCAGGGACGCTTTCAGTGAAGGCTGGAAGACAGATGTCTAGAGCAGCAATAAATGGGATGCGGGAGGAGGGCTGCTCGGAGCCACAGGGGTGCAGCAGGGGAGGAGGAGCAGCACAGGGGAAGGCTTCCGAATGCAAGAACAGTTCCGGTGTGACCTCGGAGTGACTAAGAGTTTGTCCAGCAACACAGGGTCAACAAGGATTCCGGGCAGACCAAATCGCCTGAGTAAAATCCCAGATGCAAGACAACATTTAGCACGTTAGGAAAACATCTGAATTCATCGTGGTTGAAGTGTGATGGGTTCTGGGTGGGGGAGGGTTGAATGAGTGGCGGGGGGTCGAGTGTGGGAAGATGTGTCAGTTCAGACACGGTGCGTGGAGCTTCAATCTGAGAGCAAGCGTGGGTGACTGAAAGGTTTTAAAGAAGGGCAGGGGACACAGGGTGAGGAGGTGCTGGCTGGGCAAGTCTGAAGCCAGGGAAACCTGTTGGAGTGAGCCACGTGCAGGAGGCAGGGTTGGTGGTCACCCCTAATGTCCCCATCGAGAGAGGCCTTCTCTGACCCTCGACTCTCATGGAGCCCTACATTTTCCCTGTGTGCTATTTATTAAAATATGTAACTATGCACCTCTGATACCATTCTTTGCTTCACTAAGTGTCACCTTTAGTAGACAGTGAATGACTCCAGGAAGGCATGAATTTCATCAGACTTGTTGGCACCTGTATTGCAGCACCAGGAATAGTACCTTGCAAGTGGCAGGGACATCTGTGAACAAGCAAATGAACGGAGGAACAGGCAAGGAGGGGAGGGGCAGATTTGTAGGGTAGCTGGGCGGACCTGGTGATTGCTAGTAAGGGTGGAACTGGCAGCCAGGTGGAGAATCCTGTCATCTGTGGATAAATGAGGCCCTTGGGGAGAGAGGGCAGGAGAAGCAGATTTGTAACCCAGGAGGGTGGAGAGTATATTATGAGCTCAGTTTTGGGCAGATGGAATTGTGAATCAGATTTGGTTTTAATACTGAAAGTTACATTTAAAGTCTATTTGCCAGAAAAGCAACAAATCAAAAAAGCAAACTGGGGCAGGTTTTTGGCCTAGTGGCTCAGCCGCCAGGTAGGCTGCTTGTACCCCTCATTGGAGTGCCTGGGTTCAAATCCTGGCTCTGGCTCTGGCTCTTGATTCCAGCTTCCTACCAGGGCAGATCCTGAGAGGCAGTGGTGATGGCCCAGGGAGCTGGGCTCTGGCCATCCATATGGGAGGCCTGGATTGAGCTCTTGGTTCTCAATTTTGATCCAGTCCAGTCCTCATTATTGCAGGCATTTAAGGAGAAAACCAGCAGATTGGAGATCCCTCTGTCTTTTGTCTCTCTCAAGTGCAAAAATATGTAAATGAAGGTATAAATAAATAAAGCCAACAAACAGCAAACAAAAGAAATAAGTATAGCAGAAACAGATGGATGAATCTTTTTTTACCTTTATTATTCAGTTTTTCACAGGTTTTCCTTTGCAATTCTTTTTATTTTAGCAGATAAAAATCATCAGTATGCAAAGTGTCTTTGTATTAATATAGTGACTTTACCCCATGAAAGGGTTACATTTTCTAATAAGAATGATTGCATCCTTGTATTCATAAAAGCATTAAAATCAAGAAATATAGTAGTGGAATATTGTAGAAATAATTTTGCTGTAACAATTTTCTTATTACTACATTTTTGTGAACAAGACAGAAAATGGAAGCAAATGTGGGTGATCACTGCTTCTTTTCTATTTTTATCATTAAATACTTCGTATTTCTCCAAGTTGGAGGCTTTGAGTAAAGTCCACAGAGATTTCTTCCATACGTACATTGTCCCATACCTGCAGTGCCCGTGCTGGTGGGAAATGGGACATTCTTGATGAGGACATAACATATCAATAGTTGATTTAGTCAAGCATTTTGTAAACTCTGTTCTTCAACAAAAAGGCACAGATTAAAAGAAAAAGAAACAGAAGCCTCTGAAGATTTTATTATAAATTTTAAATTCCAAACTTGGGAGATTTGCTTGAGGTCTAATGAGGGTGGTAATTCTAGAATGAGTGGAGTTCAGAATTACTGTAAAACAAACAAACAAAAAAGCTTGCTCCTGAATTGATTTTGATCCAATCCACTTTTCTCTCTCTTTCTTCTTGCTCCCCTTCTCCTCTTCTATGTTTTTGCAGGGGATTCAGAAGTGTGTTCCTTTCCTAATCGGACATTTGAAAGATGCAAGTAACAGTGACGTCATCCTAAACATCCTCATAGAGATAGCAGGCTCTGAACCAGCGGCTCTGAGCAGCTTCCTCCCGATGCTCAAAGAGATAGGTGAGAGATTCCCCTACCTCGTTGGACAAACGGCGAGGATCTACGGAGCTGTTGGGCAAGTGGACGAAGTAAGTTTGGCTTTTTTCATGGCTTCCTGGATTCTACTGGTACTTAACCCATTGACGCTCTATGACCTGCATATTGGTCTTGGGACTTCTGAGAATTCCCATTTAGTTTTCTAACCTTGTGTGTGGACAGTGACCTCTGGGTCAAGGTGGTAGGGTTGTGTGGAAGGCTCCAGAAGGAAGAGTGTCATTGCCAGCATGTTACCTGAAGAAGAGGGCAGGTTGAAGTGCAGCGGGACAGCTCTGTAACAACAACTGCTCATTTCTGGTTCAGTTCTGCTTAACCCGGAGACCATTGCAAGCACAGGATGAGGTCTTGGAGACGATGAGAGGCTGTGGCTACAGTGCCTGCACTCAGTGTGTTCTGAGCCTTCTGGGAGATGTTATTTGGGAGAGTGAAATAAACGTTTGTAGATGTTTAAAAGTCTAGGCTAAATATTTACTTTTAGCAGGGACAACAGGATGCTGTTAGAGGTTGTGGGGATCAGGAGACTAAGAAAGTTTCCAGAAATTCAGGTTCTGAAGAATGTGGGCGTGCGTGCACACACACGTGCCAGTCTCTGATGATTTTATATTGGAATTTAGAATTTTTAATTTAAAAAGGAAAGCAAATATCTAATCAATAATCCATGTACCTCTGATCAGATTTATCTCACTATCAGATAAATATTAAATTGTGCAACCCTTAAGTAGAATTTTCTGGCTCTTCAAGTTCAACCTCTGCATACTACATGGGATGAAATTAAAACTCAGCCAAGAGTTTTAATTAATTACATGATTTACCCAGACTCAGATTGGGTTAGGAACCCAGTGGGAATGAGACCTTTTGTATCCTTGGCATTTGATTTCAATTTTCTCAAATGTCTCTTCAATGCTGTTTGATTCTGTTTCCACTGAGGATTTGAGGAGCCCTGTGAGCCTGGGCCTCCTGCTGCTAGAAACCTTTCCCCGCCCCCACCCCGCTGGCTTCCAGAACAGGTGTGAGCACTGAGCTGTCACGCAGCCTGCGTGTGTCGACGTGGGGATGCACCTCAAAAGGGATTTCATGATGCTTGGTATAATCCCTTTCTGCTCACTGCTGTTGGGAATGGCCTGCACCTGCCGCTCTCCCCCTGCCTGTCACCATTGCTGCCAGGAGATCGGCTGCTGGAAGTCTGATTAGGCCAACTGCAGCTGGCAGCTGTCCGCTGGATCTGCTGACCTTGCACATCTTTGTAGTGCCCAAACATTCGACCTCTGAGGTGGGAGGCCTCGAATCTGTAAGAAGTATCTTTAATGTTCAGTAATGTACATTGGAGGGGACTGCCCTTTGCCCAGGAGATTTCCCTGTTAGTTAGAATAAAACCAAGGCACCAGCCACGTGCAATCATGTCCCTGTTTGTGTGGTTTGTCCAGATCAAGGCTAACCTGAAAGAGAACGGTCAGCTGGGTGACACTCAGGCCACTCGTGGTGGGTGCAGGGAGCATGAGGGCTGGATGCAAACAGCCCGAGCAGCAGGCGCCCCTCAGGATTTGTGGCAACTTGCTGCCAGCACGCCTCTGGGTACTGAATTCTGAGGCTGCTCAGTCCCTAAGGACATGGCATAGAGTTTACATATAATCCTCCCTCTCCCGTAGGTGATCTCCACAGTATTTATACTATTTAATATACGTGATATGTAAACAGTTATTACACTTCATTTTTTAGGGAATAGTGGCAAGAAAATAAGACTGTACATGTTTAGTACAAGCGCAATTTTTTTCTGAATATTAATGACCCACAGATGGTTGATCCATGGCTGCAGAATCCCTCTATACACAGGGCGTTCTGCAGTTTGTTTCAAATTTAAGTTTTCTTGCTTTTGTTCCCCAAAACAGATAAAACATTCAGGTGGCTCTGCTTGTCCCAGCCCCCACCCAAAGCAGAGAATAATTGTAAGATCAAATAATGGCCAAATATATCCAGATATTAGGATTACATGAGGAGCTTTTAAACAATAACTATCTTGGTCCCTGTAAAACGCCTACTAAGTCAAAATTTCCTGGAAAGTTACCCTAGCGTCTGGAATTACGGCAGCTTCTGACAGGGCAGTGCTGCTGCAGCTATTTGTGGAGTGACAGTTGGAACCCCTGAGGCATAATTTTTAAAGTGTTTTCTCTTAGATTTAGAGTTAGACCTTACCCAGCACCCATTTGGCCCTTTTCCTAATGAATTTAGTAATTCTCCAGACTACCCATAAAGCAGTTCAGATTAGGTGTGGCAGTAACACCCAGCTCCAAAACCGTGACAGATAAACGCCTCTTGCTGTCACACCTAAAGAAGCCTAAAGGACTATCAGTCTGGAGCCTGGCTCCTCCCACTTGGTGGCTAGTGGATCCCTGAGCACACCAGGGCACGTGGCCTCCCACTCGTCCAGCAGGAAGGGGAGGGGGAGCAGGATGCTTCCAGCCAATGAGACACAACCTTGTGTTTACATCCTGTTGGCTAAATAGAGTACCACTGAGCAAGACTGTGTGTGTCACTGCAAAGGAAGCCAACACATGGCGTCTGGATTCAGGTGACCACATTCCCAGCTAAGCAAGAGAGAGGGCAGAAGGAAAGATGGAAGACAAACAACTGGCTGTTAAAGCTGCTCAAATTATTTCATTCGCTGGGTCTGTTTTCTCTCCTCAAAACTAACTGCTTTACACTGAATTGCCTCCTCCTGGCTCTGATATTCTTTAATTTCATTGTCCAATTCCATTTAGGAAGAGTCTAATGAACTACCTAAAAATGTCAGGTAGGCTTTATTTAGAAAAAAATATATATATATACTGGGGGGGGGGGGGGGACATGAAAAAGAGAGAGCACTGTGGCCGGTGCTGTGGCTTGGTGGGTAAAGCCACCGCGTGCAGTGCTGACATCCCATATGGGTGTCAGTTCGAGTTCTGGCTGCTCCACTTCCGGTCCACCTCTCTGCTGTGGCCTGAGAGGGCAGTGGAGGATGGCCCAAATCCTTGGGCCCCTGCACCCATGTGGGAGACACAGAGAAAGCACCTGGCTCCTGGCTTCGGATTGGCGCAGTTCCGGCTGTTGCGGCTGATGGAAGACTCTCTCTCTCTCTGCCTCTCTGTAACTCTGCCTTTCAAAATAGAATAAATAAATCCTTATAAAAAGAGAGAGAGAAAGAGCACTACTATATTCTGGTCCATTTCCTAAATACCCACAATGGCTGGGGATAGGCCAGTACTGGAATCAGGAGCCAGGAACGCAATCCAGGCCTCCCACACAGGTATCAGAAGATGGAGCTGGAATTGAACCCAGGTAACTCCAATGTCGGATGCAGGCAACTTACCCAATATCTTAACTGCTAGGCTAAAAGCCCACAGAGAGTCTCCTCCACTCAGCAACTGTGCCCTTTCCTTGTTTGTTTCCAATGTAGAAAATATTACCACTAGGAAATCCTTTTAGCTTTAAGGATGGCAAAAGCTCAGATGTCCTGAGAACAAGTGTGATAGTCTAAGCAACTAGTGACTGCTTAATTTATGTGAACCTGTTCAGCTTTCTTTTGTTTTAAGATTTTTATTTATTTGAGAGGTAGAGTTATAGACACAGAGAGGGAGAGACAGACAGAAAGGTCTTCCATCTGCTGGTTCATTGCCCAAATGGCCACAATAGCCAGAGCTGAGCTGATCCAAAGCCAGGAGCCGGGAGCCTCTTCTGGGTCTTCCATGCAAGTGCAGGGGTCCAAGCACTTGGGCCATGTTCTACTGCTTTCCCAGACCAGAGCAGAGAGCTGGATCAGAAGAAGAGTAGCCTGGATGGGAACCAGCACCCACCTGGGATGCCCACACCGTAGGTGGAGACTTAGCCTACAATGCCACTGCGCTGGCCCTCCTTTCAGCTTTCTAAGTGAAACTTTAGGAAGCAGTATTCCTAAAGACCAAGAACAACAGGCACAGCAGATGACAGACAGATACATAGATATCTAGATAGAGATGGTGCATTTTTACCAAAACTCAAACAGAAAGAAGTTACTAAGGTTCATCAAGGAGTAGGTATGAGGGCAGGCATGGGTCCCATGGAAGAGGAAAGGCAATAAAGAGAGAGCAGCAGAAACCCTACCCTGAGCAAGTCCTTCCCACCCCTTCTAGATGGAGAGCTGGGTCTAAATAAGGAGACTTTGGGGCGAGGGACCATCTGAGACACAGGACTAGTGAGCCATGGGACGTTTGGTTGTTACGGTAAGACGGTCACAGAACCCTAGTGAGCTCTGGCCCCAGCATCCTTTCTTTTATCCTATTCTGGTCTCACCTTAAAATTGACTTCATTTGGAAGTTTTCTCTTTGACCCAAAAGTAAAAGTTTCAGTTCTGTTCAGGAGGTTGGAGTGTCAGACAATTTCATCAAAGATTTTAGAAATACAGAAAAGGAGTCCAACTCTCGGATCTTGCTCCAACTTTTCAAATGTACCATCTGGGACTGACTGGAGCCTGTTAGACCCCTCCCCTGCTGCCAGGCTTCTAGCAAATGCTGTGGTTTGACCATTAAGGAGAGGAGGGGTCTCTTGACAGTATGCAATCATCAGCCCAGAGATGCCTAACAGGGTCGGGTCAGCCTGGAATCACACACGTTGTTAACTGGTTTATGCTTTACCTTCTGTGCTTGTGCAAATGCAGGTGTAAGAACTGCAGGACTGGCTACCAGGAACCAAACCGGGTGTGCCTGTCTTTCAAACTGGTACCCATCTGGGGGGCAAACTGTTTGTAGCAGCTTGATAACAGCATCACAATTTTTCCATCTGTATTACACCCAGCAGAAGAGGGTGGTATGCACAAAGCAAAAAAGAAAATCCTACAGATCTTTATTTTCTCTGTCTCTCAAATTCACTCTGGGATCCTTTTTGCCCAAGCGTAGGTGAATCCAGGTTTAACAGCCACACAGTGCTTGTGTCATGGCAGTGACTGAGAGATGATTTCTAGGTTTGTGCAGGCATCTAAAGCACACCTGTGGGATGTCGCAACTGGGAAGACCCAGGAGCAAAA